GCTGAATGCTTGCTGTGATGAACCTAGCTGAATGCTTGCTGTGATGAACCTAGCTGAATGCTTGCTGTGATGAACCTAGCTGAATGTTTGCTGTGATGAACCTAGCTGAATGCTTGCTGTGATGAACGTAGCTGAATGCTGTGATGAACCTAGCTGAATGTTTGCTGTGATGAACCTAGCTGAATGCTGTGATGAACCTAGCTGAATGCTTGCTGTGATGAACCTAGCTGAATGCTTGCTGTGATGAACCTAGCTGAATGTTTGCTGTGATGAACATAGCTGAATGCTGTGATGAACCTAGCTGAATGATGTGATGAACCTAGCTGAACGCTAGCTGTGATGAACCTAGCTGAATGCTAGCTGTGATGAACCTATCTGAATGCTGTGATGAACCTAGATGAATGCTTGCTGTGATGAATCTAGCTGAATGCTTGCTGTGATGAACCTAGCTGAATGCTAGCTGTGATGAACCTACCTGAATGCTGTGATGAACCTAGCTGAATGTTTGCTGTGATGAACCTAGCTGACTGAACCTAGCAGAATGCTTGCTGTGATGAACCTAGCTGAATGCTTGCTGTGATGAACCTAGCTGAATGCTTGCTGTGATGAACCTAGCTAAATGTTGTGATGAACCTAGCTGAATGTTTGCTGTGATGAACCTAGCTGAATGCTTGCTGTGATGAACCTAGTTGAATGCTTGCTGTGATGAACCTAGCTGAATGCTTGCTGTGATGAACCTAGCTGACTGAACCTAGCTGAATGCTTGCTGTGATGAACCTAGCTGAATGTTTGCTGTGATGAACCTAGCTGAATGCTTGCTGTGATGAACCTAGCTGAATGCTTGCTTTGATGAACCTAGCTGAATGTTTGCTGTGATGAACCTAGCTGAATGCTTGCTGTGATGAACCTAGCTGAATGCTGTGATGAACCTAGCTGAATGCTGTGATGAACCTAGCTGAATGCTGTGATGAACCTAGCTGAATGCTTGCTGTGATGAACCTAGCTGAATGTTTGCTGTGATGAACCTAGCTGACTGAACCTAGCTGAATGCTTGCTGTGATGAACCTAGCTGAATGCTTGCCGTGATGAACCTAGCTGAATGCTTGCTGTGATGAACCTAGCTGAATGCTGTGATGAACCTAGCTGAATGCTTGCTGTGATGAACCTAGCTGAATGCTTGCTGTGATGAACCTAGCTGAATGCTTGCTGTGATGAACCTAGCTGAATGCTAGCTGTTATGAACCTAGCTGAATGCTAGCTGTGATGAACCTAGCTGAATGCTGTGATGAACCTAGCTGAATGCTTGCTGTGAAGAACCTAGCTGAATGTTTGCTGTGATGAACCTAGCTGAATGCTTGCTGTGATGAACCTAGCTGAATGCTTGCTGTGATGAACCTAGCTGAATGCTGTGATGAACCTAGCTGAATGCTTGCTGCGATGAACCTAGCTGAATGCTTGCTGTGATGAACCTAGCTGAATGCTGTGATGAACCTAACTGAATGCTTGCTGTGGTGAACCTAGCTGAATGCTTGCTGTGATGAACCTAGCTGAATGTTTTTTGTGATGAATCTAGTTGAATGCTTGCTGTGATGAACCTAGCTGAATGCTGGCTGTGATGAACCTAGCTGAATGCTAGCTGTGATGAACCTAGCTGAATGCTTGCTGTGATGAACCTAGCTGAATGCTTGCTGTGATGAACCTAGCTGAATGCTTGCTTTGATGAACCTAGCTGAATGCTAGCTGTGATGAACCTAGCTGAATGCTTGCTGTGATGAACCTAGCTGAATGCTGTGATGAACCTAGCTGAATGCTTGCTGTGGTGAACCTAGCTGAATGCTTGCTGTGATGAACCTAGCTGAATGTTTTTTGTGATGAATCTAGTTGAATGCTTGCTGTGATGAACCTAGCTGAATGCTGGCTGTGATGAACCTAGCTGAATGCTTGCTGTGATGAACCTAGCTGAATGCTTGCTGTGATGAACCTAGCTGAATGTTTTTTGTGACGAACCTAGTTGAATGCTTGCTGTGATGAACCTAGCTGAATGCTAGCTGTGATGAACCTAGCTGAATGCTTGCTGTGATGAAACTAGCTGAATGCTTGCTGTGATGAACCTAGCTGAATGCTGTTGTGATAAACCTAGCTGAATGCTTGCTGTGATGAACCTAGCTGAATGCTGTGATGAACCTAGCTGAATGTTTGCTGTGATGAACCTAGCTGAATGCTGTTGTGATGAACCTAGCTGAATGCTGTGATGAACCTAGCTGAATGCTTGCTGTGATGAACCTAGCTGAATGCTGTGATGAACCTAGCTGAATGCTTGCTGTGATGAACCTAGCTGAATGGTTGCTGTGATGAACCTAGCTGAATGCTTGCTGTGATGAACCTAGCTGAATGCTTGCCGTGATGAACCTAGCTGAATGCTTGCTGTGATGAACCTAGCTGAATGCTTGCTGTGATGAACCTAGCTGAATGCTGTGATGAACCTAGCTGAATGCTGTGATGAACCTAGCAGAATGCTTGCTGTGATGAACCTAGCTGAATGCTTGCCGTGATGAACCTAGCTGAATGCTTGCTGTGATGAACCTAGCTGAATGCTTGCTGTGATGAACCTAGCTGAATGCTTGCTGTGATGAACCTAGCTGAATGCTTGTTGTGATGAACCTAGCTGAATGCTTGCCGTGATGAACCTAGCTGAATGCTGTGATGAACCTAGCTGAATGCTTGCTGTGATGAACCTAGCTGAATGCTTGCTGTGATAAACCTAGCTGAATGCTTGCTGTGATGAACCTAGCTGAATGCTTGCTGTGATGAACCTAGCTGAATGCTTGCTGTGATGAACCTAGCTGAATGCTAGCTGTTATGAACCTAGCTGAATGCTAGCTGTGATGAACCTAGCTGAATGCTGTGATGAACCTAGCTGAATGCTGTGATGAACCTAGCTGAATGCTTGCTGTGATGAACCTAGCTGAATGCTTGCTGTGATGAACCTAGCTGAATGTTTTTTGTGATGAACCTAGTTGAATGCTTGCTGTGATGAACCTAGCTGAATGCTTGCTGTGATGAACCTAGCTGAATGCTTGCTGTGATGAACCTAGCTGAATGCTAGCTGTTATGAACCTAGCTGAATGCTAGCTGTGATGAACCTAGCTGAATGCTGTGATGAACCTAGCTGAATGCTGTGATGAACCTAGCTGAATGCTTGCTGTGATGAACCTAGCTGAATGTTTGCTGTGATGAACCTAGCTGAATGCTTGCTGTGATGAACCTAGCTGAATGCTTGCTGTGATGAACCTAGCTGAATGCTGGCTGTGATGAACCTAGCTGAATGCTGTGATGAACCTAGCTGAATGCTTGCTGTGATGAACCTAGCTGAATGCTGTGATGAACCTAGCTGAATGCTTGCTGTGATGAACCTAGCTGAATGCTTGCTGTGATGAACCTAGCTGAATGTTTTTTGTGATGAACCTAGTTGAATGCTTGCTGTGATGAACCTAGCTGAATGCTTGCTGTGATGAACCTAGCTGAATGTTTGCTGTGATGAACCTAGCTGAATGCTTGCTGTGATGAACCTAGCTGAATGCTGTGATGAACCTAGCTGAATGCTTGCCGTGATGAACCTAGCTTAATGCTTGCTGTGATGAACCTAGCTGAATGCTTGCTGTGATGAACCTAGCTGAATGCTGTGATGAACCTAGCTGAATGCTGTGATGAACCTAGCTGAATGCTTGCTGTGATGAACCTAGCTGAATGCTGTGATGAACCTAGCTGAATGCTAGCTGTGATGAACCTAGCTGAATGCTTGCTGTGATGAACCTAGCTGAATGCTAGCTGTGATGAACCTAGCTGAATGCTGTGATGAACCTAGCTGAATGCTTGCTGTGATGAACCTAGCTGAATGCTTGCTGTGATGAACCTAGCTGAATGCTTGCTGTGATGAACCTAGCTGAATACTTGCTGTGATGAACCTAGCTGAATGCTTGCTGTGATGAACCTAGCTGAATGCTGTGATGAACCTAGCTGAATGCTGTGATGAACCTAGCTGAATGCTTGCTGTGATGAACCTAGCTGAATGCTTGCTGTGATGAACCTAGCTGAATGCTTGCTGTGATGAACCTAGCTGAATGCTGTGATGAACCTAGCTGAATGCTAGCTGTGATGAACCTAGCTGAATGCTAGCTGTGATGAACCTAGCTGAATGCTAGCTGTGATGAACCTAGCTGAATGCTAGCTGTGATGAACCTAGCTGAATGCTAGCTGTGATGAACCTAGCTGAATGCTAGCTGTGATGAACCTAGCTGAATGCTTGCTGTGATGAACCTAGCTGAATGCTTGCTGTGATGAACCTAGCTGAATGCTTGCTGTGATGAACCTAGCTGAATGCTGTGATGAACCTAGCTGAATGCTAGCTGTGATGAACCTAGCTGAATGCTAGCTGTGATGAACCTAGCTGAATGCTAGCTGTGATGAACCTAGCTGAATGCTTGCTGTGATGAACCTAGCTGAATGCTGTGATGAACCTAGCTGAATGCTTGCTGTGATGAGCCTAGCTGAATGCTTGCTGTGATGAACCTAGCTGAATGCTTGCTGTGATGAACCTAGCTGAATGCTGTGATGAACCTAGCTGAATGCTAGCTGTGATGAACCTAGCTGAATGCTAGCTGTGATGAACCTAGCTGAATGCTAGCTGTGATGAACCTAGCTGAATGCTTGCTGTGATGAACCTAGCTGAATGCTGTGATGAACCTAGCTGAATGCTTGCTGTGATGAGCCTAGCTGAATGCTTGCTGTGATGAACCTAGCTGAATGCTTGCTGTGATGAACCTAGCTGAATGCTGTGATGAACCTAGCTGAATGCTAGCTGTGATGAACCTAGCTGAATGCTAGCTGTGATGAACCTAGCTGAATGCTAGCTGTGATGAACCTAGCTGAATGCTTGCTGTGATGAACCTAGCTGAATGCTGTGATGAACCTAGCTGAATGCTTGCTGTGCCCAGCCATACCATTGCTTGAGGCCTGTGATGGGACACACATAGCGTTCATCTACGGAGCTCTCTTGATAGTCGTCCATTTACTTGTCATAGTATGTCGCAAGTTACAACCTCTCGGCAGAACATTCCCGTCTTACACAATACTAAAAGTAGAAAAAACAACGTGTTTAGGACTTGGGTGCTTCCCCTCATCTGTAGATATTGTTTACTGCTATTTTTGTCTAGGTTTTGTAGACAGAAAAACAGACACAGAGCCACGCAAACAAACAGATTGACAACCGTATTTAGGACTCACTGAGGCACTATAGCAGCATGGCATCAAGGCTCTCTGAAATAATTTTTTATCCTTCTACTTGAGGTTTGAGGTTGTTTGAATCAAGCAGACCAACCATTAACAAAAGTATCAACAAAAACAGAATAACAATCTCTGCTTCCCATAAGTGTCTGTGTTTTCCGGTGCTAACTTGCGCTGAACTCAATTATAAACTTGAACCATGGTGTGAAAAAGGTTCAAATTGTCAAACTTATATGTAGTAGCCAGGAAGTATTCTTTTAATCGAAATCTTTACCAACTCTAGATCTAATTATGCCCTCTTTTTCAGCTGCTTTCTTAATTGTAATAGTGTAATATATACCTCCAACATAATCAAGTTGTACGTGTCAGTACTTTATCATACTTTATCCACACAAGAGAATTCTACAAGACCGCAGCTACAGGCAGTGTTTCTTCCAGACATTTTTCTCCGGGGGGGCACTTGAAATCTTCGGGGGGGCGGTAAACTTTCTTCGGGGGGGCGGACACTGTTAAAAGTATATTTTTTCTATATAAATTATATAAATTTCATTTTGTTCGGGGGGGCGGTAAAAAATTTTCGGGGGGGCTTTGCCCCCCCCCCCCCCCCCCGAATTTTTTTTACCGCCCCCCGAATGAAACGAAATTTATATAATTTATATAGAAAATATATACTTTTAACAGTCTCCGCCCCCTCCCCCCCCCCCGAAGAAAGTCTACCGGTCCCCCCCCCCCCCCGAAAATTTCAAGTGCCCACCCGGAGAAAAAAGTCTGGAAGAAACAATAAGGGCAACAGCTACAGGGCAGCAGCTGTTTTGGAGTTTTTCTCTCCTAGATGGGTCGCTAGCGAGCATCATCTGCCCGTGTTTCGAACTCAGGACTTCAGTATTTAGCAATCATTCGCTAAATTATTGCTAATTTTTTTTTTTATAAACCTTGTACGATACGTTTTTGTGAGTGATATTAAAACAAACTATTAATATATTCTTAAAGATAAAGCAATAAGTTATTAGTAAAAGAATGGGATATAAAAAGTCGCGTGTATATGTGGGATATAACGAAAACACGGTAGAGGCTGATCATAGAGTCCATCTCGAAGATTTCAACATCTGTTTTATTTCTATTGATTTTGAGTCGTATTTTAAAGTTCTCTACAGACAGTCAGTTTAGTTTGGTTTGGGCATATTGTTTGTGAGGTAGTAGGCGGATGTCACATGTAAAATCAAAATCTTCCAGCCATTTGGTAGAGTTCCACTTGATGACCATGTCCATGTAGTCTTCCGAGTGATCCTGTCGATTACTATCAAGAATATCTTTGGTGGCAGCATACATCCCTGAGGTGTTCATTGTAGTTGTATAAGATTCCTTTAATATTTGAGATGTTCACTAAAATTGTATAAGATCCAGTTATTATTTGAGCTTCATTAAAGTTGTATAAAATTCAGTTAATATTTTATATGTTCATTAAAGTTCTATAATAGTTAGCTAATATTTGAAGTGTTCATTAAAGTTGTATAATATTCCGTTAATATTTGAGGCGTTCATAAAATTTTATAAGATTCAGTTAAAATTTGAGATGTTCATTGAAGTCGTATAAGATTCAGTTAATATTGGAGGTGTTCATTAAAGTTGTATAATATTCCGTTAATATTTGAGGCGTTCATAAAATTGTATAAGATTCAGTTAATATTTGAGATGTTCATTAAAGTTCTATAATATTTAGCTAATATTTGAAGTGTTCATTATAATATTCCGTTAATATTTGAGGCGTTCATAAAATTGTATAAGATTCAGTTTAAATTTGAGATGTTCATTGAAGTTGTAAAGGTTCCAGTTTATATTTGAGGTGTTCATTAAAGTTGTATAATATTCCGTTAATATTTGAGGCGTTCATAAAATTTTATAAGATTCAGTTAATATTTGAGGCGTTCATTAAAGTTGTATAAGATTCATTTACTATTTGAGATGTTTATTAAAATTGTATAAGATTCAGTTAATATTTGAGGTGTTCATTAAAGTTGTATAATATTCTGTTAATATTTGAGGCGTTCATAAAATTTTATAAGATTCAGTTAATATTTGAGATGTTCATTAAAGTTGTATAAGATTCAGTTAATATTTGAGATGTTCATTAAAATTGTATAAGATTCAGTTAATATTTGAGATGTTCATTAAAATTGTATAAGATCCAGTTGATATTTGAGATGTTCATTAAAATTGTATAAGATTCAGTTAATATTTGAGATGTTCATTAAAATTGTATAAGATTCAGTTGATATTTGAGATGTTCATTAAAATTGCATAAGATTCAGTTGATATTTGAGATGTTCATTAAAATTGCATAAGATTCAGTTAATATTTGAGATGTTCATTAAAATTGTATAAGATTCAGTTAATATTTGAGATGTTCATAAAATTGTATAAGATTCAGTTAATATTTGAGGCGTTCATAAAATTTTATAAGATCCAGTTAATATTTGAGCCCCCGATGTTTGTTTATCCCATTCCCGAAGAAAAGCACTTGAAGTCTTTATACCGTAATGCCTGTTCCAAACATTTGACTTAATACTTTCAGACCAGCAACCAACAAGATGACTTAAAACTTTCATACCAACAAGATGACTTAAGACTTTCATACGAACAAGCAACAAGATGACTTAAGACTTTCATACGAACAACCAACAAGATGACTTAAGACTTTCATACGAACAAGATGACTTAAGACTTTCGTACCAACAACCAACAAGATGACTTAAGACTTTCATACGAACAAGATGACTTAAGACTTTCATACGAACAAGATGACTTAAGACTTTTATACCAACAAGATGACTTAAAACTTTCATACCAACAAGATGACTTAAGACTTTCATACCAACAAGATGACTTAAGACTTTCATACGAACAAGATGACTTAAGACTTTCATACCAACAAGATGACTTAAAACTTTCATACCAACAAGATGACTTAAGACTTTCATACGAACAAGATGACTTAAGACTTTCATACGAACAAGATGACTTAAGACTTTCATACGAGCAAGATGACTTAAGACTTTCATACGAACAAGATGACTTAAGACTTTCATACGAACAAGATGACTTAAGACTTTCATACGAACAAGATGACTTAAGACTTTTATACCAACAAGATGACTTAAGACTTTTATACCAACAACCAACAAGATGGATGGTGTGTAAAAAGAAGACTTTATTTTCTTGACAGGCACTAGGAAATGTCCAATAAAAATATAACAATAAAAGACTGGGTACCAACAGAAGGCCTATGAAGCCGGCATCACTAGCCCTGACCGGCACTCACCGGTCGCCGCGCTACCCTTACCGTGGAGGTATTCGAATATCGCGGTATCGTTCCGGTGACGTGCGATCAGTGCATCTACGAGTATGGTTAATAATTCTGATTTATAAATGTATTCTTGTCGTTATTCCTTGGCTACGTTACAGCGTAATCGATTTTATTAATGATATCGATTTGAGTGTTTTTTAAAATCTTATTATATAAAAACATTTCATTTATAAATTAAATATCCAAAATACAACATGATTAAAACGAATCAAATTTTAATTAACGTTTAGTTGTATTATGCACTAATGAAACGCTGACATCAGCAGTTAAAAATAGATGGCCATTGTCCACCTAGGCTGCTATATTTAGCCTAGCCTCTTGAAACCAACAAAACAGCAACAATACATTTATCATAAGCAACATATATGCAACAATACATTTAACAACATTTTGAGTGATCACGAGTTGAGTTTTCTCCCTTGAGTTTTCTCCCTTATAATTAACATGAAGTTATTTCCCTTTCAATAAAACTAAAATTTCCGAAACACAAATACTTTTACTGGTTCGTTTTTCCATAGACATGATCCCAAAACTAGACATCTACCCCAAAATACAGAATCGGATAAGCGATGAGAACAGAATGTTGCAGTATGCTCCAGAATCCACCTTATGCTTTCTTCAAGATGTCGTTGAAGGCACCGAGGAAGTTTGTCCAAGCCTTGACTTCGTCACTTCCGGAGCCAACACCAAGGCTCTTCTCAAGGAACAGGTGGATGTTCTGTTGCAGTGGCTGAAAGGACAGGTGAAGGTTCTTAGCGAGATCAATACACGATAAAATTTACAGTTTCATTCGGCAAATAGACACAATTGTGAGACAATAATCAATTTAAATGTAAATAACGAAATTAAGCCTTTTTATGACTAATAAAATTTAGCGTTTGTATTATTGTAATAAAAGCCTCAAGGGAACTGAGTCTAAAATATTGGTTTTAAATACTTAAATTTTTGTTGTTGAAAGGGCCCACGGATTGGTTGCGAATACAGTTAAAGCTTTAGTTAAAATAATTCAAGGGAACTTACTCAAAAATATTGGTTACGAATACTGTTAAATCTTCACTTAAAACAACTCAAGGGAACTTACTCCAAAATATTGGTTGCGAACTGTTAGAGCTTTAGTTAAAAGAATTCAAAGGAATTCAAGGGAACTTACTCCAAAATATTGGTTGCGAACTGTAAAAGCTTTAGTTAAAAGAATTCAAGGGAACTTACTCCAAAATACTCGAGTCCAATGCTGGGGGTCATGTTGATGTGCTGTTTGGCCAGTTTCTCCATGGTGGCCGTGCACTGACCGGGGTTGTTGACCTGGCCAATCAGGGTGTCAAGGACGCCCACGATCGTCTGCACCTGTTTGAGAAACTCGGCGTCACCCTTCAGGGCGGCATCAGGCTGGTTGGCGTTGAACTTGGAGAATTTGTCGCGCATGTTGGGAACGTTCTCGAACATCCTGCGTGTTACAACATTGTCACATGAGTAAAATTGTCACCTTTGGGTTAGTGTTGCTATGTGAAAAAGTGTCGCTAAATCAATTTTTGCAAGTAAAAAAAAAATTAGCTAGCCCTTCATGTGTGCAGGATATGTGGAGAATGTGGAGAGAGTATGTACTTTGTGTGGGGAGTGTGTGGAAAGTTGATGTAAACTTTGTGGAGGGTGTGTGGAGGGTGTGTGCAGGGTGTGTGGAGGGTGTGTGGAGGGTGTGTGGAGGGTGTGTGGAGGGTGTGTGGAGGGTGTCTAGAGGGTGTGTGAAGGGTGTGTGGAGGGTGTGTGGAGGGTGTGTGGAGGGTGTGTGGAGGGTGTGTGGAGAGGGTAAATTGTGGGGAAGATGTGAGGAAGATGTGTGGAGGGTGTGTGGAGGGTGTGTGGAGGTTGTGTGCAGGGTGTGTGGAGGGTGTGTGGAGGTTGTGTGCAGGGTGTGTGGAGGGTGTGTGGAGGGTGTGTGGAGGGTGTGTGGAGGGTGTGTGGAGGGTGTGTGGAGGGTGTGTGGAGGGTGTGTGGAGGGTGTGTGGAGGGTGTGTGGAGGTTGTGTGGAGGGTGTGTGGAGGGTGTGTGGAGGGTGTGTGGAGGGTGTGTGGAGGGTGTGTGGAGGGTGTGTGGAAGGTGTGTGGAGGGTGTGTGGAGGGTGTGTGCAGGGTGTGTGGAGAGTGTGTGGAGGGTGTGTGGGATGAGCGAACTCACCAGAGTACCAGGTTGATTCCAGCGTTCTGTTTGCCATCGGCACCAGACCCGACCAGTTTCTTCCATGAGCTTTCCAGAGCTTTCTTGTCGCTGTGAACAACATAGAAACCGATACACAACAATACTTACAGAAATACAACAATAGATACACAACAATACTTACAGAAATACAACAAACAATATACAACAATATTTACAGAAACACCAATAGAAGCACAACAAACATTCCAATCTATTTTTTTAATTTAGTAAATTTAACAACAGTTGGCTAACATATGTTAATTAACTTGGTAATTATCTTCAAAGAGTTAATGACTAGCCTTGACTAACAGTAACAAATTATTACTTCTCACTAGGCATTTTTTTTTCAAGCGCTCAACTAAGTTCAAGTAAAACTTACTTATCAGCCAAAGCCATTTCGATTGTTTGTTTGATTTCTGAAAAGAAAATGTGAATAATATGCTAATCAATGCACCGTTAAACCCAATCTTCAAACAGTTAATCGCGACATGTCATTGGTTGAGATCGACTGGGCTAGTCTATACAAGCAGACGTGCGCTGATTAAAATAAAGTCGTGCGTTTTTTTAATCAAACAGTTTGTTCCTAGACAGATCTATAAGCTTTTCGTTGATTTCGCGTTTCACAAAAGCTTGCAGTTTCGCGTGAAGATAATATTAGCATTAGAAAACAATAGCAGTTTGTGTGGAGGGAGAGGGGGGGGTTATTCAGGTCAAAGTTAAACATTCATGTGTGAACAGAGAGACATTAGGATGAGCTGTCTCCTTTGTTTGTTTTGGGGAAAAAGTCATTTCAATTTTAGAGCAAAGGTCATTTCAATTTTAGAGCAAAGGTCATTTTAATTTTAGAGCAAAGGTCATTTTAATTTTAGAGTAAAGGTCATTTCAATTTTTAGAAAAAAAAAAAAAAAAAACTGCAGTAGCCAGTGCAAACAGTGGCAAGACAAAAATGCTGGGCAAACGCAGACGTCACCAGTTAGAAGCAGACAGGAAACCACGTGATGTTTGAACAACCAGTCGGTGAACCGTTTGGTTAATCCTCAAGGTCGAAGGGGGCAAGTCTGGAGCCTCATTTTCAAGTGACGCTCGTTTCATTTTTGGTTCAACTTTTAAATGGTCATTGGACGGGTGAAATAACGCGAAACTTTTGAAACTTGATTGGTCTAGTTTGATCTATATTTGGTCTTCTTTAGTCTAGGTTTATTCTGTTTATTCTACGTGTTGCATACGTTTGTTTCACGTTCTAATAAAATTATTGAACTAATTTCTTAACGTTTAGATCATAGACCAATGTTTCACGTTCTAATTGAACTATTTCATATCGCCTAGATCATAGACCAATGTTTCACGTTCTAATTGAACTATTTCATATCGCCTAGATCATAGACCAATGTTTCACGTTCTAATTGAACTATTTCATATCGCCTAGATCATAGACCAATGTTTCACGTTCTAATTGAACTATTTCATATCGCCTAGATCATAGACCAATGTTTCACGTTCTAATTGAACTATTTCATAACGCCTAGATCATAGACCAATGTTTAAACTTTGAGATGTAACACAACAAGGACACGACAGTCTAACCGTGACCTTCACACCACGGCGCAGACCAACCAAACACAGCACAGCAACAACTGGTGGCTAGGGAGCAGGGGACGCCGGGGTTGGTTAGACCCCTGCACGCGTTTGAAAAATTAAAAAACCGAATGTCTCCAGGTGAAACGAAACGAAAGGTTTTGTTGGGGGTTAATTAATATCTCGAGCAGGGTCGACAAAAAGAAACATGAGGCTGGGGGATGGTGGGGGGGGGGGGGGGTGAAGGGGATAATTTGATCTGAGGAGATAAAGGAAGGTTTAGAGAGATAATAGGGAGAGTTAGGGGAATCATCAAACCGGTTGATTTGTTGCGGACGTAACTGATATAGCGTTTTAGTAGCGTGAATGGACACGTAGTTTAAAGTAGCAAAATAGCTACAGCTACTTGTGGTCAGCTAGCTACAGCTTTGGGTGGTCAGCTATTAATTGTCGACTAGCTACATCTTAAGATTAAATCATTAAAAAATTCTTAAATGAAATTGTAATATCACTTGACGTAAAAACTTTCGAAGGTAAACTGCGAACTGTGAACAAACTTTTTAACCGCTTGTTTTCACAGCGTGTGACAACTTCTAAAACTGTCACTTTTAATTAATCAATAACTTTTTTTTTAAAATGTCACTTTTAATTAAAAAATAAAATTTAAAAATGTCACTTTTAATTAAAAAATATAATTAAAAAATATCTTTTTTAATTAATCAATAAAATAATAGATGACTTAATTAACACATCTGGCACAAAATAGATTGAAACTTCTCAGTAATGACAGAATATTTTCCCCATTCTACTGGCCGTGATAGTTTCAAATTACTGTACTAATCAGTATCTAATCTCTTCATTAGTTATAATACGGATAAATGTATAATAAGTCAGTTTATATCAAGCTAACAACATTCAACAGCTTTTGGTTCAATCGGCTAGTTTTTCCTGCTGTATTTTACCAACTAAATTTAGCGCATTTGAACAAAATAAACTTCTAAATCAACCAAAAAGTCAAGTCACATAAATCTACAAGACTATCCAGTCAAATGACTTAACCAAAAGGTCAAGTCACATAAATCGTACAAGACTATCCAGTCAAATGACTTAACCAAAAAGTCAAGTCACATAGATCTACAAGACTATCCAGTCTAATGACTTAACCCAAAAGTCAAGTCACATAGATCTACAAGACTATCCAGTCAAATGACTTAACCAAAAGTCAAGTCACATTGATCTACAAGACTATCCAGTCAAATGACTTAACCAAAAGTCAAGTCACATAGATCTACAAGACTATCCAGTCAAATGACTTAACCAAAAGTCAAGTCACATAGATCTACAAGACTATCCAGTCAAATGACTTAACCAAAAGTCAAGTCACATTGATCTACAAGACTATCCAGTCAAATGACTTAACCAAAAGTCAAGTCACATAGATCTACAAGACTATCCAGTGTAATGACTTAATCAACTATAAGTCAAGTCCCATACATCATTGAGCATGCTATCTATCTAACAACGAATCAACAACAAACGTTCATCAAATATATTCCATAGCGGCATGCTCATACATTTTTAAACTGAACAATTTACAACTGGCATATGAAAATAAAAGTATAAATTTCCTTACATTAAGCCAATGAGAAAAAATGTAACTAAAACTGAATAAACAAAATGTACTAAGCGTTGCTAAAACTAAAGTCGAAAAGAAAACCTACGAAATAAAACTACACGTATAAACTGTTGCTAAACCTAAAATAAAAACTAAAAACTCGGATCACAAAGCCAGAAAACAATCACCAGAAGACACACAAGTTACCAAGTTCTGACGAGAGTGAGCAGCAGACGACTTCCCAGCTCTAGAGCGACTGGAGTTATATCCCCTGGGCCGCTCGCTTTTCTGCTCTCCCTAAAGGACATGTCCTTCAACTCGGGCAGACGAGAGCCGGGCGTCACGTAGACAACTCAATATGGCCGCCAAATGGTCCAAAGGACGAAAAAACAAAACCCAGAAAATAAAAAAAATAAAAATATTCTCTGCAAAAAGTTTTGCGGAGTCGGTAAATTTTGAAAACGGTTTTTCGTGAAATTAACTTTTTTAAGCTTTAATTTAAGTGCAAATCTAATTTGGTTAGGTTATTGACTTGGGGTTTTATTGGCGGGAATGGTGCATTTAGGGGGATTGGGGTAGGCTGAGGTAAACAGATGCAGTTGAGAAACGTGTTCATTTTGATGTGTGTAGCGTAGCACTCACACGAGCTAACGACTTGATGTAGAGGGTATTGGGTACGTTTGGTTGTGGTTGTAACAGGCGAGGAAAGGTATCCAGCAGGGGGGATTATGTGGTACGTCACATATGTGTGGTCGTCACATGTGGTGTGTGATCGTCACATATGGTGTGTGGTACGTCACATATGGTGTGTGGTCGTCACATATGGTGTCTGGTCGTCACATATGGTGTGTGGTACGTCCCATATGGTGTGTGGTCGTCACATACGGTGTGTGGTCGTCACATACGATGTGTGGTCGTCACATACGATGTGTGGTCGTCACATATGTGGTCGTCACATATGGTGTGTGGTCGTCACATATGGTGTGTGGTTGTCACATATGGTGTGTGGTCGTCACATATGTGGTCGTCACATTTGGTGTCTGGTCAATACATAGGGTCCTAGAGGTCAATACATGTGGATCATGTAGCTAATATTTTGTGGTCAATATTTAGGGATAGTGTGGTCAAAATCTGGGCATTGTATGGTCTATATCTGGGAATTGTGTTGCCAATATCTGGGTATTGTGTGGGCAATATCTGTGGAGATTTCGTTTGTGTTCGTAGCATTTTAGATTACTTTTCTCTCCCGATCTCACTGGTGCGGGTTCAAGTCTACAGATATCCTAATTTGATTGATGTTTGAACCCCGGTCTATTGTTACCATACCATCCACAGTTTCCCCATACCCTGATGTGACCAGCCTAATTAGAACGGGAAGGGCTGTGGGTGGGGGAGGGGGGTGCGAAATCTCATTAATTCAAATCCACTAAATGAAGAGAAAACAAGTGAAAATATTGTCGACATCAAACTAGATATTCAATATACTTGTATGACCTTTCCTAAATCATATTCACATGTATGACATTACCTATATCATACACAAGTATGTTATTAGTTGCATTATATACTTGTATGACATTAGCTATATCATACACAAGTATGTTATTAGCTGCATTATATAATTGTATGACATTAGCTATACCATACACAAGTATGTTATTAGCTGCATTATATACTTGTATGACATTAGCTATATGACATAAAGAGGTTTTTAAAATGATACAATCCGTCAGAAATACGATCTTTGTACTTCAATGTGTGACTACGATACGACCCCCATACTACCTAGCAATACTTTCATGTGTCACTACAATACTAGCTAACATGCAGAAATATACATCAACGATAATATTTACTTTAACATGTAATTGAAAGATAATGAAGGAAGTTGTTAGATTAAAAAGATTGCTCTCGTTCGAAAGATTTTTCTAGAGCAATAGGTCACAGGGAGACACGTGACGTCATGGATGGGGTCACGCAAGTCATCAAATGTCACCAGGAGTAAACCATTTCAATACCATGAGAACTATTTGTTCATGATCGGCGGAAGTGAGTTCTGTGTACTGGGGGGGGGGGGGGGGGAGATAATAGGTGTGAGGGTGGGGGGGGGTAGTTGGGTGCACACGAAAAGGGGTGGCGGTGAGGTGCAAGGTGTATGGCGTTACATAAAACACTGGACTATCTTTACAACAATTGGTGGGGGAGGGGGGTGGGGGGTGGGGGGAATATGGAGATTAGGTTTAGGATTAGCCAGTGGCTGGAAAAGTTTCCTGAGTTAATCTCTCTATAAACTGTGGATTAACTGGGACGTTTTTAAGGATTCCAATTTTATCAAATATAATTGCAGTTGTGCAGGGTGGAGGGGAAATTCAGGCCGATTATTCACTATCTTTAACATATCTTTATTGATATTATATATATGTATATACATATATATATATATATATATATATATATATATATATATATATATATATATATATATATATTTATATATATACATATATATATATATATATATATATATATATATATATATATATATATATATATATATATATATATATATATATATATATATATATATATATATATATATATAGAGAGAGAGAGAGAGAGAGAGAGAGAGAGAGAGAGAGAGAGAGAGAGAGAGAGAGAGATATAGAGAGATAAAGAGAGATGTGTGTGTGTGTGTGTAATATATATATATTTCTATAAAGGTTTAAAGCTAGCTACGTAATCCTGACTTTAGTCACAGGGGTCGTGCTTTTGTATGAGATGATTCATAGTTTCAAGGTTGTTTAACTTTAGGGTTGTTCAACTTTAGTGTTGTTCAACTTTAGGGTTGTTCAACTTTAGGGTTGTTCAACTTTAGAGTTGTTCAACTTTAGGGTTGTTCAAGATTATGCTTGTTTAAAGCTAGTCATGTAGAGCTTAAAATTAGCTTTGCGATCCGTACATACTGATCAATACTGGGAGATCAGATTCATGATTAGAAAATCGTGGTCAATCTAATCAGTAGCTGCATGATCTCATCAACCACATATGGTGTTCCATCTCCTGTTGTTTATGTAACAAGGTAGTGCATGTAGTTAACATATTGTAAAGCATACACTTTTACATATTACCTTGTCTTTATCCCTTGACAATACATACACATGTGACAGCTGGTTCTGTTTCAGGCACGATTTAATTTGAAATAAGGTTCCAACATACAAATTAACATACTTACTAAATTAATATTAATCGGTTTAAAATGTTACTGGGATGAAAATACGGCGGCGGAGCTAGCGATTGCAAATTTGAAAAAATTGGGCTTAAGTCTGTGAGTCCACCCAGCTCTAATTGGTGTCTGACTCGAGTTGGTTATAAACAATTCAAACTATATAACTCCATGCAGATTCAGAATGATATATAGTTACTGTGTATAGCTGTTTTACGAGGAAGAAATACGAATGTAAGGTTCTAAACACGTGTGCTCACTCCTCCAATATCTGAAGTACCATTTGCGTTTTCATCAATTGGTGAATGCGGGCGGCAATTAAAAGTCTGGTGATGGTGCCAATAAGCGATGGTGTCTGGAATTTTGTGATGTTTCAATTTTGTCCAGGAAACAGTGCCTTGATCCCGACGTAAAATGTAATTACGATATATCGTATACCGAACATAACACACAGATAATGAATCTGGACCTGGACGATGCATCTAGCTATTGATGAAGAAGTCGGGTAATTGAATATTTTATAAATCTGGAAAAACCAATGCTTCACCACTATTTGTGTACGGGTCACAAATAAAGAAAACGCCCCTGGAAAATATCCCACCTAGCAGCCTAGGACAACAGGGCGTACCCCCACGAGAAATGCCATTTATCAGGCTTACATTAACCACTGCTACAGGGCGAGGTGTAGCTTCATACTTGCTGCACAACACATGGTGTGTCAATACCAGCTGGTGGAGGTCGTACTGCTATTTGATGGAGGACACACGCGGAATAATTTGATCAAATCATTGACAGATGGAAACATAGACAGCTGGGGGTATAGACACACCAAAGACAGATGAAAACATAGACAGCTGGAGATATAGACACACCAAAGACAGATGAAAACATAGACAGCTGGGGGTATAGACACACCAAAGACAGCGGGAGATATAGACACACCAAAGACAGCGGGAGGTATAGACACACCAAAGACAGCTTATGGTCGATGTGAGCACTATGTTTGTGTAACAACTTTTAAATAAAGATGGCGTGTGTGACCACTAGGTTGACGTGACCACAATGATGACGTGACCTTGAGGTTGACCTGACCACAAGGATTACGTGACCACTAGATAGACGTGACCACTAGATTAACGTGACAAATAGGTTGACGTAACCTTGAGGTTGACCTGACCACTAGGTTGACGTGACTACTAGGTTGACCTAACCACTAGGTTGATCCGACCAATAGATTGACGTGACCACTAGGTTGATCTGACCACTAGCTTGATCTGACCACTGAATTGACAGAGGTGACCACTAGGATGACGTGAACACTATAATGACGTGTCCACAATTATGACGTGACCAGTATAATAACATGACCACTAGGTTGACGTGACCACTAGGTTGATCTGACGAATAAATAGACGTGACCACTAGATTGACGTGACCACTAGATTGACGTTACCAATAGGTTTGACGTGACCTTGAGGTTGACCTGACCACTAGGTTGACATGACCACTTGGGCGACGTCCCCATTAGGATGACGTGACCACTATAATGACGTGACCACAATTATGACGTGACTAGTATAATAACGTGACCACTAGGTTGACGTTAACACTAGGTTGACGTAACCAGTAGGTTGACGTGACCACTAGGTTGAACTGACCACTAGGTTGACGTGACCTCGATGTTGACGTGACCACTAGGTTGACGTGACCACTAGGTTGACTGACGTGACCACTAGGTTGACGTGACCACTAGGTTGACTGACGTGACCACTAGGTTGACGTGACCACTAGGTTGACTGACGTGACTACTAGGTTGACGTGACTACTAGGTTGACGTGACCACTAGGTTGACTGACGTGACTACTAGGTTGACGTGACTACTAGGTTGACGTGACCACTAGGTTGACTGACGTGACCACTAGGATGACGTGACCACTAGGTTGACGTGACCACTAGGTTGACTGACGTGACCTCTAGGTTGGCGTGACCTCTAGAATGATGTGACCACTAGGTTGACGTGACCACTAGGTTGACGTGACCACTAGGTTGGCGTGACCACTAGGATGACGTGACCACTAGGTTGACGTGACCACTAGGTTGACGTGACCA